GGAAATTTCTTGTCATTTGCAGCTGTAATCTTTGATTTGTTGATATCTCTTCTAATGCTTGTTCTGCCAAACATTTACACAGCCATGTTAAATAGATTACTCATTGCTCTCCTCAGTTCATCTTGCCTTCAATATAGAAACATGTTGAAACACCTGTTCCTGTATGTTCATTGAGCCTGATCAGTACCTAGTTGGGTGACCACTTGGGAATACCAAGTGCAGTAAGCTTCGATATGCAGGTATAATGCCTCAGAATTATTAATTGGAAATCTGAGTTCCAATTCCCATTGGGTTTGTTACGTTCACTTATGCACAAATACCATCTTCTCCACAGGTATGGGTTAATAAGACTTGTATCACTAAAACATTGTCTCAAAAAACAAAATTCTTACAAAAATTATTTTCTTGCTTTAGATAACCTGGAAAGGGTTGATAATCCATAAATAAGGAATGGATCGAAATCCTCCCTTAAACATATTCTGTGAGTGTCAAATCTTCTAAATCTTTCTTTATTATGCCTTAGAAAAATTTAATTATCTCTTTGTGATATGATGTCCTTTCTGCTTCCATCTTCCCCAAAATGTTGTTGCTCATATGTTCAGTCAGTGACATCCTTCTATAGAACCACATTTCTATTGTCTCAAGTCTCTTCATTTGTGAGTAGGTTATCTCACATTCACTGCTATATAGGAAGACTGATATTACATAATAGTTCAGTGCTTATAGTGAAAATAATTAGATTCTAATAAACTGTTATTTTGATAATGGAAATGATCTGACATTTTAGATAGAACGTTTACACAAAAATTTAAAGAGGCTGTTTCTGTTCTGTACAAATTATTAGGAAAGGCATGAATCAGCTTATTCCTGCACTTGTGGAAAATGAACCTGTTCAAAATTTTTGTAAAAGCTGTTTCTGATTAATATGTACTAATTGCCATCAGAAAGACATGAATCTATTATTCTGAGTAATGTTTTTAATGCTCTTTCTATAAAATCAAATATTGATGAAAGAGCTTAGTGTTTTATTGGAAGAAGGCCAATAAACTTGATGGGAATTTCATAATGCCACACTCACTCAATCAAGATGATCATTCAAAGACTTTTGAGACTTTTATGCAAATCCTTTTACTTGTTTCAATCAAATTGACAAAGAAAATCACAATGAAAATATATGAATTCCTCATTTTATTATATTTTGATTTCTATTTCGTGATCTGAATTAATATGTATACGAAGGTGGATCAATGTCGATAATTTAATACATAAATATTAGAATTTTTTTATCTTATTGTGCAGTATTAAATCTCTGATTAATATTTCCGATTGAATGAAGTGCATTAACAAAGGAGGAGATAACGTGGAAAATTTAATATTTGTTGCATAAAATAAAAATGATTTTATCAACTTCTAAAGAATTTATTTTTAATCCAACATTTTCATGACTTCAGACATTAGAGTGGATACTCAGATTTAAAATAGATGCCCCCATTTTTTATTTTAAACCGTGTGTATTACATCTCTCTGGGGACGCATTTGAGAAATCTCCAAGAATATGTGCTCTCTCAAATCTGCTTCCCCACTATGTAAGAGAAACCACCATTTGATCTGACACACTTTATTGTTCCACTACAGAGAGTATTACAGTTCAGCAAAGGTCTTCTTTTTTTTTTCTCAAGGATAGCATAATTCCGCATTCATACTATTTTTCTCAAAAGCCCTTATCTGTTCAGTTTTTGTATTGGAAAGGTAAACAAAGAAAATTCTAATAAATTAATGGATATACTTTTATATCTTCAAATGTCATTATAGTGGATACTGATATTTGAAATAGACAAAAAATAGCTGGAAATGGGACTCATCTGACTAGATGTCACAGGGACAAATTTCCACAGCCCAATGGTGATTTTTATCTGATCAGAAAATTCAGACTTCTTGTGGGTTTTTAAAGTCGAAACACGTTTTTTAGATTGTAAAAATAGTTGTTTACTTGCAAGCGGATACTGAATTGACAATTTTTTTGCTCAGTGACCATCTCATGGAATGTAGTGTTTAATACATTGACCGATGGATTTAGCAGGACCAACATTAAAATTGGAATAGGATTTCATTCAATGTTTTTTTTTTTTTTTTTTTGTTAGCAAATTTGTCAGTCACTGGTGGTAAATGTGAATACATCTTTGCTCACAGCTATGGATTATATAGTAGGACTCGTATCTGGAAAAATCATTCTCATCTAAAAAAAATAATTAAAATTGATAATGCAATATTCACTTGCACTGAATTAATTATTCTTAGAATAAAAAAAAGTTTCAGCTTTAAATAACTCACAAAGTGAGCACACTCCAAATTTTGACCCAACTTGATGGATGGGTGTACTCTAAACAAAATTCCTTGCCTTGAATCTAAGTTCCATTCAGGCAGCTTCTTCCAAGAACTGTTGCTTTGTGAAACAGACTTCTGGCAGGATTTTTTCCTAATCACTACTATTTTGTCCTCTTGAAATCTAGGATTAACCATTATCTTCCTTGTATAGCACTATAAACTTGACTTATCCTTTCTTACACTCATACAACACAGAAAAGTGACTGTCTACATTGAGTGGCACTTGGGTATTGTGTTGGTCAAATGTCAGTATTAAAAAAAAGCAACCAATCATTGGTGGTGTCATTCTTGCATTAGTTTTGGGATCTTACCAATAAGAGAAAGACAAAATTTATTAAGACCTACAAGGAAGAGGAAATTGTGGAAAGCCATGATCATCTATGTCCTGAGGTGACATGGCATATAAAGAATTTTTCCATGCTACAGTTGTTTGTCCAGAATTTATACAATCTTTGTATATGCTTGGTATGCACAAACTAAGGGCATTACTGCAATATGAAAAAAATGATTTCTGCTCTGCTTCTATATGCTGTGTCCCTTAAGGATGTTGGGATCATGCTTCTTCATAACTTCTTGTCCTTTCTAATTCTTAATAAAGTATATCTTTTTGTTAACACTCCTATATGTTGTACTTCCATCCATTTACTCAAGTTCGATAGGTAGGTTATGTATTGTTTTCCTCTACCTATCTTGTCCTCAATCAGTCCTGTGAGCATCAAATTCCCAAGCCCTTTTCCCTCATCATGTTCACTAGAAATTTCAGTTATCTCTTTCTGATGATAAGAACAAGTATCCTTTTTGTTTACTTTCAGTAATCAGCATCCTTCTGTAGAATTGTTTTTCTGTTGCTTCATGTCTCCTTCAGCAGTGAAAAAAATTTCCAGCATTCACTGCTATATTGGAGGACTAATATTATGTAAACCAGTTCAGTCCTCTTTTCATTGTTTCTAAAAATATTTTCTGCTTCTTAATATTTTGATT